TCAGACGTGTGCTCTTCCGATCTATTTACTAAAGAATCACCTTAAGTATTAATTAGTATAATTAAATTATCGTTATATTTTATTTTAAAGTCATTTTTTTTGGTTACATTTCTAAAACAAACAATTTATATTATATTTACAGATTAGCCATGCAGTTTATCGTTTTATATATAATCGTCATCTTGTTTTCACAATTGTCAACTTGCTGGTCCACACAAGGAATAGACAACGATGGCTACAATGTTTCTAATGTCGTAGAATTTCCATCAAATTACGTGAACGAGTCAATGCGATATCTCTGTGAAGATGACACAATTTCTTTAAACTTCTCAAATGCAGTAATCTCTGAGATCAATCAAAATTTTATCAGTAGTTCTATAATTACTTGCCTCAATCTCATGGATAATAATATTGGGACCATTGGTAATGGCACTTTCGACAAACTTCCAAATTTAACTCATTTATTTCTTTCGAACAATAAACTCGAAAGAGTAGATCAACTCTTTAATTTTGGAAGTCACAATAAGTTACAAGTTCTTATTATGAATGAGGCAATAAATCCACGCTACTGCGGTTATGGTAATTATAAAACTATTTCCGGTGAATATCCCAATATAGAAATTTTGTCTCTCCGTAAAAATTGCTTGGATGATTTGCAGTCTTCGCGGTTTTCATTTCCTAAATTGAAGATACTAGATCTCTCTGAAAACCGCATAACAGGAACCAATTTTGTAGAATTCCTACCGAATAGCTTATACTTTCTCGATCTTCATAAAAATTCACTTAGATCTTTGGATTTAAGGAAAAGAACCAACAAATTGTTTGCATTGAACTTAAATAACAATCATTTTAATTCCATTAGAAATTTTGGGGGAAAATTTTATAGGAGTCTAACAGTGGTTGATTTAAAAGATCTACAATATCTTTCGGTTTCCGAAAATGAGATTGATAATATCGACTCAAATGCTTTTCAAGACAATAACGAACTGCTCTACTTGAATTTATCCTCAAATTACATAAAATATTTACATCCAAAGACATTTGCAAATTTGCAGTATTTAAAAACGCTCGATTTAAGTAACAACAAACTTGAAGAGTTTCCACAAATCTCAAATAAAATAGAAGTCAATGTTTTATATATTAATCACAATAACATAAAGAAAATAATCTCATACAATTTTGTGCAAATGCCGAAATTGACGAAATTGTTAATGGGAAAGAA